AATGGCAAGCTGCGCTACGGCATCGCGAGAATCCCAGACAGCGCTAGCGAGCGTAGCAGCAGCAAAGGGCTCACTCTCAGCAGTGGTGGGGTCAACAGGGAGGGGAGCAGGCGCGGGGGGGCGGCGGAGCAAGCCATCAACATGCATAGCCAGGGAGTGCCCATCTTGGCGCTGACCTGTCAGGTGCCGGCGAAGATCAGCAAGCCAGGCGGCGAAGTCGATCGCGTGCTCCTCCGCGTCCAGGCGTAGCATGGCGTCCGTCATCACACAATCTCGCGGCACCGAGACACAGCGGCACATGGACACGGGTACAGAGCTGTACGGTGGTGCAGCGGCGTGGCGACAGGACTCTCCGGAACAGAGACCGGGCGGAATGTCGAAAGGGGCGCAAGAGGGCCGGTGGGCGCGTAAGGAGCCAGCAGACGCGCAAGGGGCCGAGGCGCACTAGGGGCCGGCCAGGCTCGCGAGAGGCCGGGCAGGTGCGGGAGGGGCGTGTGCGTAGAGAGAAGCCAGCAAGGCGCGTGAGACCGGCGGTGCGCAGGAGGGGCCGGCTAGGCGGTAGGGGCCGGCTACAGCGCGAGGGGCCGGCGACGGTAAGAGGGACCAGCTAGGTGCGAGGGGTCGGCTAGGTGAGAGGGGGGGCTGGCTAGGCGAGAGGGGCCAGCAAAGCGCAAGGGGCTGGCTAGGCGCGAAGGGGGGGGTGGGGGGGGGGGAGGGGGCTAGGTGAGAGGGGCCGGCTAAGCGAGAGGGGCTGGCTACGGCGCGAAGGGGGCCGGCTAGGCACGAGGAGCTGGCTACGGCGCGAGGGGCCGGCTGCGACGAGAGAGGGGCCGGCTGGGCGCGAAGGGCCGTCTGGGGGCGAGGGGCCGACTAGGCGCGAGAGGCCGGCTACGGCGCGAAGGGGCTGGCTAGGCACGAGGGGCTGGCTACGGCGCGAGAGGCCGGCTACGTCCAGAGAGGGGACGGCTGGGCGCGAAGGGCCGGCTGGGCGCGAGGGGCCGACTAGGCACGAGAGGGGCCGACTAGGCGCGTGAGGGGCCAGCAGACGCGCTAGGGGCCGGCGAGGCACGGTAGGCTAGGGCGCAGGGCGGAAGCAAGTGGGTGGACCTAACCTATTCATGATACCATGTTAGAATACTCGAATGATTAGAAAGAAGTGAGAGCAAGGGAGATATAGGGTTTGGGTTGTACTCTCTAAGAACACACACGTATTCTAGCGTATAACTTCTACATGCAAATGTATGTATAAGTTGACAGCGCCTCCCTCTCTTCCACCACTGTCCCCTCTCTGCTCGTTGGGAAGCTCTTGCTCTCAGTATGCCTTTCAGCCGTGTCGCATTCTTTCATTCCTTCATGGGAAGGAGGGCAGGAGCAGCATCAGTAGTGATGGGGCCAGGTGGATGCAGCATGCCAGTGGTGAGGTTGCAGATGGTGCTATACTCGCAATGGTGGTGATAGTTGTCTTTCAATACGCCTTGGTAGATAGCAATGCACGTGTCATCATACGATTTGTTATTGTGTCCCACTTGCAATGGCACTAGTTTACTGGTGTGTGCAGATCAGGTGCAAGCAATGCCCCGCTATGGGCTGCTCTCCACACCAGCCGGCTATGTGCAACATCCAGGCAGCTGAAGGTGCTGGTGCTCTAGGACCCGAACCTGAAGGTTGATGAAGCTGATTTGATTTAGAATTTCAATTCAGTTGAGGATGTTGGTGCTCTAGGACCCTAAACTACGGCTGTAGCTGTGCCATATGAAGATTGATGGGGCTATTTGATTTAGCATTTCAAGGGAAGCGATCATGGGGCTAGGGATTGCACCAAAAAGTCGCCCCGTACTTACTGGTGACCACCTTTTCTAGGGGTAGGAAGAAGTGGTTTTGGATTTGGAGGACTGCGGCAGAATCGCCAGATGTGACATTTCTTGTTGCACTTGAAACAGATGACGGAGGGGTTCTGATTCCGCTTCTTCTCCATCTCATTTTGGTCCATCGGAGCAGGTTCTTGCTGTACGTTGCCTGTTGAAGCAGAGGGCTGATAGGAGGGAGCAAAAGGGAGCAACGGGGCGCAAGGAAACTTTGCTTTGTAAGCAAATTGAATTGAGTCATACCGTTTAGCGACTCTGATAATTTCCTCAAGCGTCGTGCAATCCCTCAGCTCAACCTCCATCCGCACGTTCTGCTTCAACCCACGCTTGAAGCGGTCCATGCGTTCAGCGTTGGAGAGGTCGGGGATTTCCTGGGCGATGTCACGGAAGTTGGCGGCGTACTCTTGAACGGATTTCAGCAGCTTGAGAGCCGCAAGTCGATCACGCGCCTTGATGCTCGGATTCACCGGTTGGGAGGCGGCCGTGAACGCCTGCGTGAAGTGCTGCCACGAGGTGATGGAGGTGTGTGCAGCTTGCCACCAAGCAACTGCGGAGTCGCGGAGTAACGTGCCGGCAAATGCGCTCCACTCGGAAGGTGCAACATGGCTCAGCGTCAAGTACTGCTCCATTAAGAAGAGCCAACGACTAACAACGGGTTGACTTTTGCCTGGGATGAAGAAATCGGGAATCGCCGGTCTAGCGCGCTGACTATCTCTAGAAGGCGTAGCAGGAGGAGGATTCGCTGCTACTGCACCGGCTGCTTCAGCCATACTAGCTTGCAACTCAGCTCACAAGCTCTCACGAACTTCAGAAACGATTTGGGCACGGTAATTCTCTAGAAAAGCCGCCCAATCGTCAGGAGAAGGGGGTTGCTTGGACGTCATGACGTTCTAGAAAAATATAAAATCAAAGCAGGAACGTGGCTCAGATACCAAATATGACAGCTTTGGGGCTGTTAGTAGTAGAGGTTGAGGGATCCTTGAAGAAAGAGTGCTAGCATAATCACTAGATCATATGATGGCTTCAAACAAAGAAGAGAGCGCACTTATACTAAGAAAGCTTTCTTGGCACCTTGGTACTTCTAAAGGCGCCTAGATAAGGTCGCCCGTGGCGCCTTGGCATTTCTATCCTAGCTGGAGACAAGCAAGCAAGCTAACGATTATTTACAAGTGGCCTTGCCTTGTTGTCTCTCCTAGGAAATAGCTAAACAAGCATAGAAATTAACTACACAAGTAATTTTCATTTTCCAAGTAGTGCTGGCGTCTTCGTCAGCTTGTAGATGTAGATTGTAATCTTAGATGGCGCTTGTAGTAGCTCCAGTAGATAATCTCTAGCTTGTGCTGGCGCTTTTCACGCTTTGCTGGCTCTCGAAATCTGCTAGTGCTGCGATTCACAGGCAGCTGTACAAATTTGGGGTTGGGGAATTGTTTAGTTCGAGGCGCACGATTTTGGTTGGACGAATCCAACCTCGAAATCTACAGTTCGCTGAGTTCGCTTTCGGGTGAGTTCGCTTTCGCCTTGTAACAGTTTCATTAGCATTTCATATTTGAAGTATACATCAACTCAGGCTGTACAAATGCGTGCCATAGAGGAGCCAGCTAATGTGTGCAAACTCCCCTGGCCTTGGCTCGTAGTGCCGGGCACGAAGTGCTGCGCTCCTCGCTTCTCTAGGCGCCGGGGACGAAGTTCTGGGCGTAGGCCCAGGCGTTGTTGGCGGCGGGGTCGGCGAGGTGGTCGGCGAGGTTCTCGAGGGGCCCCTTGCCGGTGACGATGGCCTGCACGAAGAAGCCCAGCACCGCCACCTGCGCCAGCCGTCCGTTCTTCAGCTCCTTCACCTTCAGCTCCGCAAACGCGTCGGGGTCGTCCGCCAGCCCCAGCGGGTCGAACGCTCCGCCCGGGTAGATCGGGTCGTCCACCTCCTGGAATCCCTCCAGCCCGCCCACGCGGTAGCTCTCCACCAGCCCCAGCAGCACCACCTGCATGAGGCCGTCGGGTTACCACGTTACAAAAGGGCATAAAGTCAGAAACGTGTGCGTTACGCCGATCCGAGGTTTAGTTCATCAAGTGAGGAAAGAAGCGACTTGGGGAAAGAGAAACTGAGCGTGTTTAAGATGTGAGAGAGAGCAAGCGTCGGGGCGATCCTGAACGACGATCGACGGCAGAGATTGAAAAAATAGAAAGGCGAAACCATTGTCTCTGACTAACCTGGACGGCGAGCGTGGCGAGGATGCTCTGCGCGTGGATGAGACTGGGGTTGCCCAGGTAGTTGAGCCCGCCCTCGCTGAAGATCTGCGCGCCCGCCTTGAACCACACCGCCTCGCCCAGCGGCACGCCGTTGCGCGCCAGAAGCTCGGGGAACACGATGCCAAGCGCGCCGAGCAGCGCCCAGCGCGAGTGAATCACCTCCAGCTCGCGGTTCTTCGCGAACGTCTCGGGGTCAGCCGACAGGCCCGCCGTGTCCCACCCGTAGTCGCCAGGGAACTCGCCTTTCAGGTACGAGGGAGGCGAGGAGAAGGGGCCCAGGAACAGGCTGCGATCGGGGCCGTACCACTGGCTCAGGCTGTCCGCGGCCTTCACGGTCTTGCGCATCGTCACGCGGCTCTCCACGTTGTTCACCTTCGACGCGAGCTCGGCGCTCGACGCGACGAAAGAGAAAGCGGCGGAAGCCGCGGTGGCGGAGGAAAGAGCAGCCATGATGGCGGGAGCTTGAAGATCAAGCCGGATAAACGCGGGCTGGCTGCTGAGAGTACGTTCGGGAGAGCTGGAAATTTGCTGGACGGTCGGTGCTGATGGAGTTGGGAGTTATTTATGGTCAGAAATTGACGCACAGACTTCGAGCGGAGGCCCAAGACCGAAGGTTGTGTGAAATCGAGGCGCGGATCCTACGCGACGCGGGAGTGGGGAAATGCGAAGTTTTTCGTGACGAGTGGTTCGCGAAAATCAGCTTTGCGAATTGAGATATACCACGTCAGCCTGGAAAATTCGGTCAAATGTCGGTTTCGCGAGTGCTTCGAACTGGGACTTGTGCTGGGTGGTATCCAGCGAATTTGGTCTCGCAAGTTGAAAATTTGTCCAGGTTGACTTGTGCTCCGCTGCAAGCTCCCTCGATTGTTGTTGTTCGGCAATTTCTAGACTTTGTTATGGTTGTATGTGCTGCGTAATTCAGCCTTGTAACTGGGTCTTGCTCAGCAGGATATTAGGAGGCGGTATTCGGGTTTCTGTACTCCTTAGGTCCCCCCTAAAATAGGTGGTCCAGTTTGGGCGTGGTTGAAGTGGGAGCTTTCAGTCATCGACAGTTATGATTGGCTTGAGATCAGTTCGGTTTCCCTATTTTTCCCGCACGACCTGAAACCAGAATTCAAGATTCGCATCTGGACTGAAATTTTACATTTAGGGCAGGAGTCTGTTTCCGGTCAGTTGTAAACCCCTTTCCCGCCTAAGCGCCAGCCAGCTATCGCGCACTATGGCGGAGGTGAAAGTTTCCGAGGTTAAAGACCTAACTCGCGTCGAGCGAATCGGCGCGCACTCGCACATCCGCGGTCTGGGGTTAGACGACACACTAGAAGCACGCGGCGTGTCGCAGGGCATGGTCGGGCAGGAAAAGGCTCGTCGGGCAGCCGGAATTATTCTCGCGATGATCAAGGAAGGGAAAATCGCTGGTCAGGGAATTTTGTTAGCCGGGCAGCCCGGATCTGGGAAAACGGCGATTGCGATGGGGATGGCGAAAGCGCTGGGCGAAGAGACGCCTTTCGCGATGATGGCGGGTAGCGAAATATTTTCCCTGGAGATGTCGAAGACCGAAGCACTGACCCAGGTGCTTGCTGCGGGGCGTACTTGGAGGGGGTCGGGGGGCACGGGGAAGGGAAAATGGGGGAACGGGGGGATGCGGAATGGGGGGACGGGGAATAGGGGGAGGGGGTAATGGGGACAGGGGGGCGGGGAAGGGGATGCGGGGGAGAAGATGTGGGGGGGGAGAAGGTAGGTGGTAGGGGAGGTGAAATTAGGGATCTATGGTCACTTCTAGGGCAGGCGGCTGAATAGAAAAGAGACCTGCGAGGAACGCATCGGCTTCTAACGAGTACACGGCAATGGGGGTTTGGTAGTGGGCGATTATAACGGGGGGCATTGAGGGTTGAAGAATATAAAGGGTTTAGTGGATGGATGAAGCCACACAGCAGCACACAACCCACAACCCTAAACGATGTTTGTCCGCGGCTCTCCGCATCCCCCTGTGCGGCCTAATGCGCGTCCCCCCTAAACTGCATCTTCCGCTCAAACCCCCACCGCCCCTCCTGTAAACCCCTCCCCGTCCTCCCTCCTCAAAAACCCTCGCCTTCCTCCCTTTCCAAAACCCCTGCCCATCCTCCCTCCCCCAAACCCTTCCCGTCCTCCCTCCCCCACACCCCTACCCATCCTCCCTCCCCCACACCCCTACCCATCCTCCCTCCCCCAAACCCCTGCGCATCCTCCCGAACCCTCGTCCCTCCCTTTTACCTCAGAAGTTCCTTCCCATTAAACCCCTGGGGCTCCACCCTTGTTCTCCCATCCTTGCCCCTGTCGTGGTATTCTCTTTATCTTAAAACCTTTCTATTCCCTCCCCCTCCTCCACCCTACCCCCCCTCCTCCCCCCTTCTCCCTCCCTCACCATGTTTCCTCCACCTCGTTCTCTTCTCGCTGCCTTCCCCTTTCTGCCTGTCTGCATGCCTCGTTCCTTGCACGCCTTTCGCAGCGGTATTTGTGTGAGTATCGAGAAAGAAAGAGGAGATCATCCAAGATTCCAAGGTGGGTGGGTGGAGGGCATCCAAATCAACCGCCCTGCCCACCACCTCATCCTCTCCCTCCCACTACCGCTTGCCTCTTCCCTTCTCTGCTTGCCGCTGACTTTGCAGGCGTTTCGCAAGGCCATCAGCGTCCGGATCAAAGAGGTGGCTTTTGAGTCTATTCAAAAGGTGGCCATCAGCGTCTGGATCAAAGGGGAAACGGAGATAATCGAAGGGTAGGCCGCGGAGATCCAATCCGACCGCTCAGGCACTGCCGGTGCAGCCGCCAATACCGGGAAGCTGACCCTCAAATCGACCGACATCGAAACCGGCTCACTGGCAGTCTGTCTCTCCCTCACTCCGCACTGCTTGCCTCCTCCCTTTTTCCAGGCGTTTCGCAAGGCGATCGGAGTGAGAATCAAGGCAGAAACCGAATTTATCAAAGGGGAGGTGGTGGGGATCCAGATCGTCCGCCCCACCTGAAGGCCGACCACCACGGCCGGCTTGGCTGCCAAAACCGGCATGCTGACCCTCAAAACGGCCACGGTAGTCGGCCTTCAGGTGGGGCTCGTGTGCTCGAAGGCTCACTGACAATCTGTCTCCCCCCTCCCCCTCCCCCCTCCCCCCTGCTTGCTTCTTTATTCCTTCGCAGGCGTTCCGGAAGGCGATTGGAGTCCGGATTAAAGAAGAAACCGAAATCATCGAAGGGGAGGTGGTGGAGATTCAAATCGACCGTCCCGCCACTGCCGGCGCCGCCGCCAAAACCGGCAAGCTGACCCTGAAAACGACCGACATGGAGACCGTGTACGAGCTCGGGGTGAAAATGATTGACTCTCTCGTCCGTGAGAAGGTCCAAAGCGGCGACGTGATCGCCATAGACAAAGCCACGGGGCGGGTCACCAAGCTCGGGCGTAGCTTCACCCGATCAAGAGAGTACGACGCCACGGGTCCGGCTACGCGGTTTGTGCAGTGCCCCGATGGGGAGCTGCAGAGGAGGAAGGAGGTGGTGCACGTGGTGTCACTGCATGAGGTGGATGTTATTAATAGCCGCACGCAGGGGTTTTTGGCGCTGTTCACTGGGGATACGGGAGAGATAAGGGCGGAGGTGCGGGAGCAGATCGACGGGAAGGTGCAGGAGTGGAGAGAGGAGGGCAAAGCGGAGATCGTTCCCGGCGTGCTTTTCATTGATGAGGTGCGAATGGATTCGGTCCGGTGCTGTGCGCGTGGGTGAGTATGGGGTGCGGGAGCAGATCGAGGAAAGGTGCAGGAGTGGCGGGAGGAGGGCAAAGCGGAGATCGTTCCCGGGGTTCTTTTCATTGATGAGGTGAGAATGGCGTGGTTGAAAAGCAGTTCCCTCCCGCCCACTTCCCTCTCCCCATCTCTCTCTCCTCCTCTCCCCTTTGCCCCAGGTACGCATGCTTGGCATCGGGTGCTTCTCTTTCCTCAACTGTGCACTAGAGAATGAAATTTTGCTCCCGCGGGTGGTTGCCCACTCCCTCTCTTGCCCTCACCAATCCACCACCTCGCCCCAGGTGCACGTGCTTGACGACGAGTGCTTTTCATTCCTCAATCGCGCCCTTCAACCCCTCCCCCCTCCCTTGCCCCCTCGCTTCTCTCCCTACACCTCAGGTACACATGCTCGACATTGAATGCTTCTCATTCCTCAACCGCGCCCTAGAGAACGAGATGGCGCCCAACCGAGGCATCACCACCCTCTCTTCCTCCCCCCTCCTCCCCCTCGCCCCCTTCCGCTCATCCCTCTCTCCCTTTTGTCCAGGTACACATGCTCGACATTGAATGCTTTTCATTCCTCAAAACGCGCCCTTCAACCCCCCCCCTCTCCCCCCCAAACACCCCCCCCCCCCGCTTCTCTCCCTACACCTCAGGTACACATGCTCGACATAGAATGCTTTTCATTCCTAAACCGCGCCCTAGAGAACGAGATGGCGCCCATTCTGGTGGTGGCCACCAACCGAGGCATCACCACGATCCGAGGAACCAACTACAAGGCGCCACATGGCATTCCGCTCGACTTCCTCGACCGGCTTCTTATTATAAGCACCGAGGTGAGAGAAGAGGAGGTGAGAGAAAAGGGAAAGGGAGGGTGAGCATTGAGGCGTGTGAAGCTGTGAAATGAATGTGTGGCGAGACAAAGAGTGTCGGTGAAACAACACCTCATCACGTTCCCCCCCGCTCCCACCCATCCCCCCCGGGATCTCGCCCCTCCACCCCCGCTCGCTTCCTCTCCCCTCCCCTCTTCCCTCCTACCACTCCCTTCCCCAGCGGTACAAGGAGGAGGAGATCAAGGAGATCATCAAGATCCGCTGCCTGGAGGAAGCCGTAGGTACCTCACCCACCGCATTGCCACAGCTAACCCCTTCGCCTCCCTCCCCTCCTTCCTCCACTGCCCCTTCCTCCAGCCATACAAGGAGGAGGATATCAAGGAGATCATCAAGATCCGGTGCCTGGAGGAAGCCATAGGTACCTCACCCACCGCATTGCCACAGCTAACCCCTTCGCCTCCCTCCCCTCCTTCCTCCACTGCCCCTTCCTCCAGCCATACAAGGAGGAGGAGATCAAGGAGATCATCAAGATCCTGGAGGAAGCCATAGGTACCTCACCCACCGCATTGCCACAGCTAACCCCTTCGCCTCCCTCCCCTCCTTCCTCCACTGCCCCTTCCTCCAGCCATACAAGGAGGAGGAGATCAAGGAGATCATCAAGATCCGGTGCCTGGAGGAAGCCATAGGTACCTCACCCACCGCATTGCCACAGCTATCCCCTTCGCCTCCCTCCCCTCCTTCCTCCACTGCCCCTTCCTCCAGCCATACAAGGAGGAGGAGATCAAGGAGATCATCAAGATCCGGTGCCTGGAGGAAGCCATAGGTACCTCACCCACCGCATTGCCACAGCTAACCCCTTCGCCTCCCTCCCCTCCTTCCTCCACTGCCCCTTCCTCCAGCCATACAAGGAGGAGGATATCAAGGAGATCATCAAGATCCGGTGCCTGGAGGAAGCCATAGGTACCTCACCCACCCCATTGCCACAGCTAACCCCTTCGCCTCCCTCCCCTCCTTCCTCCACTGCCCCTTCCTCCAGCCATACAAGGAGGAGGAGATCAAGGAGATCATCAAGATCCTGGAGGAAGCCATAGGTACCTCACCCACCGCATTGCCACAGCTAACCCCTTCGCCTCCCTCCCCTCCTTCCTCCACTGCCCCTTCCTCCAGCCATACAAGGAGGAGGAGATCAAGGAGATCATCAAGATCCGGTGCCTGGAGGAAGCCATAGGTACCTCACCCACCGCATTGCCACAGCTATCCCCTTCGCCTCCCTCCCCTCCTTCCTCCACTGCCCCTTCCTCCAGCCATACAAGGAGGAGGAGATCAAGGAGATCATCAAGATCCGGTGCCTGGAGGAAGCCATAGGTACCTCACCCACCGCATTGCCACAGCTAACCCCTTCGCCTCCCTCCCCTCCTTCCTCCACTGCCCCTTCCTCCAGCCATACAAGGAAGAGGAGATCATCAAGATCCGGTGCCTGGAGGAAGCTGTGGATACGTCCCGTGACGCCCTTGACCTCTTGTCTAAAATCGGAGTAGAACCATCCCTCCGCTACTCCATCCACCTTATTACCCCTCCACCCCCCTTCCCTCCCATCCCCCCCTTCCCCTCTCCCCCCCTCTTCCCCTTTCCTTCCCCTCCCCTCCTGCCTTGCCTACCCTGTCTCCAGCCATACAAGGAAGAGGAGATTAAGGAGATCATCAAGATCCGCTGTTTGGAGGAAGCTGTGGATGCATCTCCGGACGCCCTGGACCTCCTATCCAAGATCGGCGTAGAAACATCCCTCCGCTACTCCATCCATCTTATTACATCGGCCCACCTGGCGGCCACAAGGAGGCGGAAAACGGCAGGGGGAGGAGGGGGGGTGGTGGTGGAGGTTGAGGATGTGAGTCGGGTGTATACCCTTTTTGCGGATGTGAAAAGATCGACGCAGTTTCTTGTAGAGTATGGAGAGCAGTTTTTGTTTAACGAGCAAGATGCTGTCATGTCAGGGTGATGATGATGTTGATAGTGTATTGGTACAATTTTACTCCAGGGTACAAGCTAATTGCTAACATGCAGTGCAATCCCTCGAGAGTACAATGAGCCAGCTATACGTAGTCATGTCAGGGTGATTACTTGTAGATTTACATGAATCGGCATGATGACATGATGGCGACGTGGTTGTAATACTAGCATGATACGTATTGCAAGAATGTGGTGCAAATGTGTCAAGATCTATTTGATTTTCATTCATTCTTCAGCTTCGTAAGGTGCTATTTCCAAATAAGGCCGATGGAATCTATCGCGTCCGATAGCTCATGCCGAGGATAAATGAGACTATTTTCTGGAGCTCTAGCTCCCCCTTCACTCCAGCAAGCAGCGGTTTTGACGGAAACAGGCAGCAGAACCGCGCGAAGCTCAACGACTATTACATGGAGCAGTCGTCGCACGCCGTCGCGCGGAACTGTCATCGCGTCGCAACTGTTATGCGAGTAGCTAGTCAGCCCATTATTTTCAATGTACAATCGCTCTAAGCGTATCTACCTCTCACCTTCTCCAGAGCCCGTCCGTAGTACGTCGCGTCGCGACCCTCAGAGCATGCGACACGCTTCAAGTGTTAGTCCACTCGAAACTCTCATTTGTGTTATTAAACCGCTTTTTTTTTACTTGTCGTTTTCAGTCGCGTGGTTGATCCGAGTTGATCGAAACAGCACGGAGATGGTTCCGTCGATGCCTTTCAGCTGACGTGGAAGTTTTCTCGACTGACTCCAAGTGTTTCCTGCGCGACTCGAAACCCTAGTTTGCGAAGACTGTCGTGGGAGGTAGAGGCGGGGAGGCGGAGAGGCGGAGAGGCGGGGAGGCGGGGAGGCGGAGAGGCGGAGAGGGTGTTGCGGGGAAGCGAAGCGGGGACGAGTGGGCTTACGGCTACTGCCATTTTTAAGGATCAAATCGAGATCAATTGATCAACTGGTTAAGTTTCATGGAGGAGCATTTCGTGTTACGGTTACCACCTTCGCTAGCAGCGCGGATGGACAGAGTGTTGAGGGAAGACCCCGCCGCTGCTGGGGATGCCGCATTGGAGCTGTTCTTCCAAGGTGAGGGTTTGATATGTTGATCGGAGTGCGACTTAGGAATGAGTATGGAAGCACCATCGCTAGCAGCGCGGATGGGCAGAGTGTTGCGGGAAGACCCCACCGCTGCTGGTGATGCGGCATTGGAGCTGTTCTTCCAAGGTGGGTGTTTGGTCAAATTGGATTTCATCAATTCTAGTGGAAACGGTTACCAAATTGGACTATTTATGTTATGGTTACCACCTTCGCTAGCAGCGCGGATGGACAGAGTGTTGAGGGAAGACCCCCCGCTCCAGGGGATGCCACATTGAAGCTGTTCTTCTGAGAGGCCTTTGCTGCGAGCCAGCTGCACCTGTTTGCGCTCGTGAAGAGACCTCCCCCCTCGTTTCTCTCTCTTCCCCTCCTGTCTCTCCCCCCACCAGCCCATGGCCGCACCGAGTCGTTCGTGATAGGCGGAGAGGCCTTTGCTGCGAGCCTGCTGGACCTGCCTACCCACCCCCCCCCCCGCGTTTCCCTCTACCCCCTTACTCCCCCCCCCTCTCCCACCAGCCGATGGCCGCACCGGGTCGTTCGTGATGGGCGGAGAGGCCTTCTCCGCGAATCTGCTGGACCTGCCTGCTGTGGTGGAGTCGTGGAAGACCTATGATGATAACTCGCTAGTTAAAACTGCGGACGTGGGCCAGGTGAGGCTGGGGTAGGTATTTGGGGTAGATGGGTATGCGAGCCACTGGACCTGCCAGCAGTGGTGGAGTCGTGGAAGACCTACGATGATAACTTGCTGGTTAAAACGGCGGACGTGGGGCAAGTGGGATGTGGGGAAAGTGGGACGTGGGGAAGGTAGAATGGGGAAGGGGTGGGGGGGAGGGTGTCTACCCAACTTGTGCATAGACTTACGATGACAACTCATTGGTTAAGGTGGCATACGTTGAGCATGTGGGGAGGTGGGGCAGGTGGGGAGGTGGTGCAGGTGGGGAGGTAGGGCAGGTGGGGAGGTGGGGCAGGTGGGGAGGTAGGGCAGGTGGGGGGGGTGAGGCAGGTGGGGAGGGGGGCAGGTAAGCTGAGGGGCCGGTGGGAATCATGATAAGACGTATGATGACAACTCACTGGTGAAGGCTCAAGTCAGGTGACGTGGGGCGGGTGAGAGAGCATAGGAAGAACGAGAGAAGGATGTGGTAGAGTCGGATCATCACCACTCACTTGTTAAAGAGTGTGACAATGTGGTGGATGTGGGGCAGGTGGGATGTGGGGCAGGTGGGATTTGGGGCAGGTGCGATGTGGGGCAGGTGGGATGTGGGGCAGGTGGGATGTGGGGCAAGCAGAGCATCATGCGAAACGATCGGCGCCCATATGCATCCCTTATCTCTAGTACTTTCCCACCTGTTCTTGAATATGACTCTAGAGATTGTCGCACTATTCTATGTGACGTCTCCCGCCAGTGGCAATGCCGGATGCGAGTAGTTCAGAAGCCATCAGATGCAGAGGGGCCTACTGAGGGACCGGAGAGTCACGACAAGTTCACCCCTCGTATTGATTGAACGTGTATGTATGTACTGATTGTGCCTCTATGGAATGTGACTAAACGGAATGTGACTGTACCAGATGATAGTGGTTCGGGAGCCATCAGAAGCAGAGCGGCCGATAGAGGGACCAGAAAGCCGAAACGGTTTAACCCCTCCCATGCGGGACGTGAGGAGAAGGCGCTTCAGACGAGAGCCCGACCTCAATGTAAGTACACTTCATTCATATTTAGTTATGACTCATGCTTATATCGATCATGACTGTATTGAGTCGCAACGGTCTCACCCCCCTCCCATGGGGGACGTGAGGAGACGACTAATCAGAAGGGAACCTAGTGAGAGTACTGTTGTAATATGATGGTACACTTCATAGAAAATGATTACACATACACATATTCTGGATTGAGTCGCAACGGTCTCACCCCTCCTATGGGGGATGTGAGAAGAAGATTCACATGAGAATGGAGACACAGCTAAGGAGCATCATGGCGGGAGGAGCGGCCGAAGATGTGGATATCCCCCTCCGCACTCTCTCTCACTTCCTCTACCTTTCACTCGCTCTTCGTATCTCTCTCCGCCTTATTGTTTTGCTTCTTGCAGCCGGTTATAGTGGAGGAGGTGGTGGAGACGGAGCTAAGGGGCACGGCATGCATCGCACAAACCCCTCTTCCTCCCCCTTTCCCTTGCTCCTCTATCTTTCTCCCTCTGTTCTTTGACTGCGTGTAGCGGGAGATAGTGGAGGAGGTGGAGACAGAACAGCGAGCACCATGCTCTTTCTGCTCTCATGGCGCACCCCCCTTCCCATTCCGACGCTTCTTCCTTAACCTTCCCACCTCCCTCTCCTTTTTTTCTGCCAGCCGGAGATAGTGGAGGAGGTGGAGTTGGAGCTAAGGAGCATCACGCTCTCGCTGCACTCATCACACCCTCCCCCCTTTCCCAGTCCCGCACGTCTTCCTTAACCCTGCTCTCCCTGTTTTTTTTCTGCGAGCCGGAGATAGTGGAGGAGGTGGAGACGGAGCTGAGAGGCATCATGGCGGGAGGAGTGGCCAAAGATGTGGATATCCCCTTCCGCACACTCTCCCTTTCCTCTACCTTTTCCTTGCTCTTCCTATATCACTCCCTCTTTTTCTCACGACTCTCCCCTCGCCCTGTCTTGTATCGCCTTTCTCTATTTCCTAACACGTGTCTTACTGCCAGCCGGAGATAGTGGAGGAGGTGGAGACGGAGCTCAGAGGCATCATGGCGGGAGGAGCAGCCAAAGATGTGGATATCCCCCTCCACACGCTCTCACTCCCCCCATCTCTTACACCCCTCACTCGCTTTTCGTCTCAGCTTCTCCCTCACTCACTCCCTTACCCTCTGAGAGCCCTATTTTCTCTGCATACCTCCTCTTACTCAGCTTAAGTTCATAGGTGCTTAAAGCAACGTACTTGATCTCTATAGTCCCTCCCACATCCTTTCGTTGAAAGCGTAATTTTGTAAATCTCTTTGTTGTTTCCTTGACCAAAAATGGCTTGCTTCTCTCCCCACTTTTCTCCTGCTTTCCTGCCATCCCGCATCCTTCGTTCCCTTGTCCGTTCTGTCTTCCCTTTCTTTGCACCCTGCTATCCCTTCCGGCTGCTCTCTCTTCCTTCCTTTTGTCCGCCCTCTTGCTCCTTCCGTCTATACCCTCTTTGGGGCTACCCTGGCCCGACAAATATCCCGCGACGCCCGCATGCATATCTGGACCGTTCCTGGCCGCTGGATCGGCTGGTTGAGTCCTTGCTGTTGGTTGCTCGTTTCTGGCCGTCGGATCGAGCACAGCTGGAAGTGATGGAGCATGAGGAGGATGCGGAGGAGGGGGATGAGGGGGAAGGAGGGGAGGGGGGAGGGAGGGGAGGGAGGGAGAGGAGGAAGGAGGTGATATGGAAGGCTTGGGGGGTAAGAGGAAGAGAGGAGGGAAGGTGGGAGTTAGGGGCGGGGGGCGAGGAGGAAGAGGGGGGCGAGGGAGGGGAGGTGGGAGGGGCGTGGGAACAGGGGGGAGAGGACGGGGTAGAGGAATGGGGAGAGGAGTGGGGAGAGGGGCCGGGAGAGGAGGGGGAAGAGGAGTGGGGAGAGGACGGGGAAGAGGGGGAGGAAGAGGGAGGGGAAGAGGAAGAGGGGTGAAGAGAAAGGAGGTTGAGACGGACGATTTTGACGAGGAAGCTGGAGGTGGGGGAAAGAGAAGGAAAGCGGATGAGGGGGGAGGAGGTGAAGAGGTAGATGCAGAGACAGGGGATCACGATAAGGAGGTGGGAAGGGAGGAGGAAGGAGGACATATGGGGGAGGAGGGAGAGGAGGAGGAACGGGAAGAGAGGGAGGGAGGGGAGAGAGAAGAGGAGGAGCACGGGGAAGAGGCTCACGGGGAGGAGTTGGGAGAGGATGAGGGTGGCGTGGGTGGGGAAATGCATGGTGAAGAGGACGAAGGGGAGGAAGAGGAGAGGGATGCGGAGGAGGGGATGGGTAGGGTGGGGGCAAGTAGAGGTGGAGGGGAAGCGGAGGAAGGGGGCAGTAGTGATGAAGAGGGGAGGGATGGAGATGGGTTTGTGGATGTGGATGATGATGAGGAAGAGCCCTACTAGTGGTTACTGGTTAAGGGCCATCTCATGTACGCACAAATATTCATGTCGTAGTGTGCTTGCAATTGTTGTAGCCAGGGCCCCTGACAGCAGACGAATTCGGTCTGATCGTCTGATAACCAGACTTGATTTTTTAGTTCATCTGATTTTCAAGACCACTTTATTAATTCCGTCTGAATGTTAAGACAAACGTTTTTACTTCGTCTGAAAAATCAGACTGCGTGTAATGTTTCGTCTGAGTTTTCAGACAACGAGTAGTACATTTTCGTCTGAAACAAACAAATGTGCCCACTAGGCCACAAGGCAGCTTGTCTGCCAGATTCGGTCCTTCCCCGTGCCATGCGTAATTATGTCATCGCGTGTTGTCGCATCCACGCTGTCGGAAACCTAAGGCCCCTAGCTGTCCTCTGACTCAGAAGCTGCCACGCCGTTGTCTCTTAGCAGGGTGTCGGCACTCCAGCCAGGCACAGCGCAGGACTCAGTGTGGCGGTATTACGCCAGGGCGTTGTCCCTTAACGTATTGTCGGCGCCTGTGACAGCATTGAGCAAAATGATCCTGGCAGCATTGCGCCAGCACATTTCGTCCTCGGCAGGCAAAGATGCAAGGACATGAGTGATGCACCGTGGGCTGCATCCCACACCATGCGTCGAGGCGCACGAAGGCGCTTGGAGGGAGATGAAAGTCCCCCCAGTTTGCCCGCCTAACCCATCATTCCTCATTTCAAGTGTTCATGCATAGCACGAGCAGCAACAGCTCCCTATGGCTAGCTGCACGACTCTAAGCGTGTAGTTTTTGCGCCTCCCCGGCTGTTTCTGGCTTGCGCTATCGTGAGACAGGCCCCATGACGACAGACGCTGCTGGGTTCAGCCCCCCAGCAGCCATACCTAGTTCTTCGCGACAGCCCTCGCCTGCTGCTCCGTCGATCTCGGCGCTGGATCTTCTAGGCCGCAGAACGTGTAGCCTGTTTGCTGCTTCCCCTGCGCTGTCTGCGGTTCCTTCCTGCCCGGAGCCCGCTAGTTTGGCGCCGTCGGTCATTCCACCGACCATGACGACTCCTAGAGTGGCGCCCGCTGCAGCGCCACCCGCGGTAGCGCCTCCTAGTCCATCGCCCGCATCGTCGCCGTCTACCATGACTCCACATAGTCCCTCGACTGCTGCTGTGGCGCCTACTGCTGCGCCTCCTAATCCCCCTCCCGTTGCTTCACCTCCTACCGTGCTGCCTGCTTCGCCCCTAATTGCATCTCAGCCTGCCGTGGCTCTTTCGAGTCCATCCTCCGAGGCTATACCCAGCACCCCGCGCTTCGACGGCTTGCTGCTAGAATTAGACATTGAAGAGTGGGTCCGCAGCCAGCTCCCCCCGTCCTCTCCTCGCTTCGCTAGCACGTCGACTGCTGGTGCACCGGCCCCTCTCTTCTATGCTGGCCCTGTCTTACCCACCAGGTACCTTGGGAAGACGAAGTACAAGCAGCGCAAGCTGACATTCGGGAGGCCGCGATCACCCACCTCCACGCCAACTACTCCACCTGCCGCGCTCACGTCAGATGCTGGACTGTCGACGCCTGATTCACCGGGCGACATTGTGGACGACGATCCATGGCCGCTGACACTGGAGAAGCTGCAACTGAAGTGCAGTGAGCAGTGGTAACGTCACTTCCCCTGGCTCTTCATCTCGGAGACGAAGGAAGGTCGTCCGTGCATGAAGTGCACCGTCTGCATCGCGCACGGAGAGCCAACGTACCAGTATGGGCACTGTGGGGAGGGCGGCATCGACATTCAGAAGCAGACCATGCGGAAGCACGATCACAGCATCAAGCATGAGGCAGCGATGGCAGCAAAGGCGCATTGGGATGGCAAGATGAAGAAACAGAGGAGTATTGTGGAATTTGAGAACGGGGATGAGGACGCACGACATTTGAAGAGGCTCTTTGCCATTGTACACTTCATTTGCAAATCTGACGCCCCCATCGCCCTGTTTGTTTCGTTGGTTCAGTTCATGGCAGAGCACGGGACTCCGGACATGCCCCTGAAGGAGAACGTCACTTATTATTCAGAGTGAGTGTAGTCGAATGACACCCTCTCACCCTGACTTATGTTATTGTCCGGCTTGGCTGTCTTTTTTAAGCTTCAAAATACACGACTGACTTGTCTGTTTAACTTTGCAGGTACGGTTTCGCCCAGCTGGTCGAAACCATGGTGGCCTACTTGCGCGCAAAGCAGTTGAAGCACATCCTGGCAAGCCCGTACCTTGGCATTCAGCTTGATGAGAGTACAGAAAGGCGGCGGGGGAAGCATCTCATCGTCTACTTGACTTTCCTATGGGACAAGGAGGTCGTCACCGAGTTTTATGCGCACCTCATAGTGGACAAATGCGACGTGGCTTCGCTGCAACCTATCCTCCTCACGCATCTCGAGGCAACTGGCGTGGACTTCCAGAAGATCTGCGGCATCAGCACGGACGGCACGAGCGTCATGACGGGCGCGTCGACCGGGCTAGTGGCACGGCTGCGGTCCCGCATCCCACACCTAGTCTCTTGCGAATGTGTCGCACACAAGTAAGAGCAGTGTTTTGAGGCACCAAATTAGAAGCATGATGTACATCTTCCAATACAGTCACCCCCTTCTGACTACGCACATGCTTACCTTGTGTGCAGGGAAGCTCTTGCTGCCAAGGATGCGGCAGCCGACTTTCCCGGCCTTGCCATTGTTGACAAGGTCGTGAAGTCACTTGCAGAGGTCCTCGATAGGTCTATTGTCTTCCATTCACGTTTCAAGCAGCTCCATGATGTCGTCTCAGAGAAGAACCTGGAGATGCAGGGAATCCACAACATCAGTTGGTTATCCTGAGGTGAGGCCATCCAGAGGCTAGTCAAGGTATTCCCTGCCGCCATCATACTCCTGTCGGAGCATGACCGGTAGGCGTACACCATGGTAATTAGCTTGAAATTCCATTTCCTACTCTACTTCCTTGCCGATGTCCTCAACGAGCTCAACCTGCTCAACCTGAAGTTTCAGCGCCGCCAGGTAAATGCTACTGCTGGCGGATGTGCGGCTTTATAAATGACTCATTTCTAACATCTCTTTGCTTTTCCTTCAGGTCGACATCACCCACGTCTGCCAAATGGTGGACAACACCAAGCTAACTCTGTGCAGCCGCTACGTCAACTATGGCGAGGCCTTCGGTCATGGCAACACGACCCTAGTGGAGTTCATCAAGAAGCACTCATCACCACATAATCGCGAGGTGACGGTCGAGGGCGTAGACGGCGATGGCACCAGGCTCATCCACACCTACACACTGCACGAGAAGGCTCTCCCTGGACAGATCAGTGGCGGGGACATGAATTCGCTGATGACCATGGCAACTGCGTTCGTGCTCGGGCTGTTGGATAGCATTGATTCCCGCTTAGCAGATCTCGAAACCCTCAACTGCAGCAAGCTCTTCTGGCAAGGAGCGTATCCACGGACCATCCAGAAGCGGGAGCGACGATTTCCACTGTGGCTGACAGGTTTACGCAACCTGTACTAGCGTGAACCCTCTTCTCCCGATACCCTGCCTGGTGAACCCTCAAGTGCATCAAGCTGTTTTGTTCCGCACCTAGTTTCTCCATTCCTCGGTCCTCACTGCTAAAACCCATTGATTCGCACATGTATTGACTATGCAATTGCACTTATCTCTCAATTGTGCTCACTCCATGATTTCCCCTCCGTGTCCTTCGCCTGCCCCACCCTTATTCCAGGCATCAACTAGACAAAGGCTCAGAAGGAACTGACTGAGTTTACGACTATCATGTCAACACATTGCAAGGAATACGGCTTTCTCGACGGCCTGAAGAGCATGCTACGATCCCCTGACTGACAGACGGCCTACCCGAACTTGGTGAATCTGTGGATCGCTGTGGCGGTGCTTCCTCTGAGCACTATCGAGTGCAAGCGGGGTTTCATTTGGCATAATGTAATAAAGAGCTGGCTCCGCGGGAACCTGTGCGACGCGAAGCTGTCGGATCTTCTGTCCATTTCTCTCCTCGATTACGACATGGAGTGGGACTCAACGGTGGAGAGGTGGCGGGCAGTGAAGAAGCGGTGGCCGGCAAAGGAGGTTGTCATTGCGCAAGCGGCACGCCCGCAGAAGAGGAAGATGTCAGAGGCAGAAAGAGCAGCCAAGAGAGCAGCAGTAGCAGCAGAGTCAGCAGCATGGCAAGCTGCAGCAATGGCCAAAGCAGAAACGGCAGCTGAGGAGGACCCTGGAGTCGCCTACTAGAGGAGGAAGGCAAGAGCCAAGGCTACTGCGATTGACCTGGATTCTGAGAGTGAAGAGGAGCAGGACAACCCCTATGCAAGTGACAGTGAAGATGACTGAAGTTCTGTGTCAGCATGATTCTATGCTCGACCGACAGTCAATGACATGCCATTGAAATGCTACTGGCTAGTGAAGTGAGTAGATGCTGTCATGTAGTGTCGTTGGGTTATATATTTAATGGTAGATTGATTTCTGACTTGAATTTATGGCCTAGAGTGTTAGGTTATTTCAGTTATTTTGAAAGCTGTAGGAATTATGTCCAAGGATGCGTATGCTAGGCTAATATTCGAACAAATCAGACAGGCCTGTAAGCTTCGTCTGAATAGTCAGACAGCCCTGAAAATTTCGTCTGAAGTCTTAGACTAGAGCCAAATTTTTGTCTGATGGTCAGACGGATGCACAAAAGTTGGTCTTGTTGGAAATCCCTCAAGGACTTAAGCGTTTCTGAAGTGTAACATCACGCTCGAGTGAAGCCGTATCGAGTATGCGAGTCAACGGAGGTTACATGAGGAGGTTGGACGAAAGAACACGAAAGGACGAAAGACTCGAAGGGTCGCAACCGGAGGTTGCGACTGACCGTTACAACTGCAAGGGTGGTAACCGAATCGACCATCGAGTCGCTGTGCGACTCGATAACCATTCCTTCAACTGTATTCTACAACTGCTTTACTTTTCCTATTTTCTATATATTGCTGTATGCTTGTTCCTTTCAATTAATCACTTGCTCTCACATACTAGTGCAAGGGTTCAACTACTCAAACTTCCGCTGCACTACTCAAGTATCTTGTACAACTGGGACTTAGTCTCTGAAAGATCCTAAGGGCTTTTCTCAGCCGAACAGGTCTGAAGATCAGGCGCCCCTAAATCCTAGCAAGGACCCTGGTTGTAGCAA